CTTCTAGACCCTCCTTATCCTTGGATTCTTTCCTCAGATTCTGTTCTTCTCTCTCGGCACAAGCAACAGATATCTTCTCCTTGAACCCCTGTAGACCCTCCGTTTCCAGTGTTTCATCTTCGTCGATGTCGAGCCCCTTCCATACGTCCTCTACAACCTTGACCCATTCCGTGGGTTGTCTACCCCTCTTTTTGTTTGCCCACTTCGCCTCCCATACAGCAAAAGGGCGGGGACGGAGAAAAGAGTATTGGTAAAGGGGATGCCAAGGCGGGTGTCGATTTCGCCAACGGGCAGGAGGCAGAGGGAAAGCAGGGCAAGGGAAGGGGAGGGGAGAAAAAGGGTGGGGGCTGAGGAAAGACTGGTGACAAAGGGGATGCCAAGGCGGGTGTCAATTCCGCGAACGGGCAGGAGGCGGAGGGAAAGAAGAGCAACGGGTTTGACGGCAAAGGCGGGTGTCAATTCCGCGAACGGGCAGGAGGCGGAGGGGAAGAAGAGCAACGGGTTTGACGGCAGCATCGCCCCCAAGGTGGGCAAGGATAGGAATGGAGGCAAGGTGTTACAGAAGCTGCGACGGAGGGCACAGAAAATGTCGAAGAAAGCGCGGCTTCAAGAAGAGAAGGCAAGACAGGCGCAGGTTTGATGCGGATTTCTTTGATGAGCCATGATTTATCATGTCAAACATACGTGGCGCAGACGGTATGAGGACAGCTCGAGTAGCTACAGCCTTGTCGCGTTTCGCCACCAGCACTTGTCCAAAGAACCTACATACGTTGCTATTTAGTGTACCTTGCGCGTTTCCGCATGCGTTCGTGCAGGGGTGCCTGGACATCGCACTCGGCACTCGCCTTCACAATGGTCGTTGGAATGTGAAGCAACCAGGCTACGGAACTGTGATGAAGGTTAAAATGAGTGTCGACCAAAACGAACTTGAGTCATACGACGTGCTAATGGACGACGCCGAGAGCATCGTTACGATGGTGGCGCGGTACGTGGAGGTAGACGTCAGGCATGCCCGAACGCATGTTGCATCGGGGGAAGGGTCACCTGCAGGAGAGAGGGGGAGATCCGACAATGAATTGGGCTCACCTGAGAACAGTTCGAAGGAGGATGAAAATATCCAGATTCCCGTGGCAACAAACAATGGCGGTACGTGTGCAGGAGAGGGTGTCGACAGGGGTGGCCTTCAGGATGGTGGAGACAGGAGCAGAAACAGTGGACATGACGACAAGCTATGCGGGACAAGCGGGATGGTATCCGTGAAGAAAGAAGGGGGTCAGAGTCGCAAAAACGGAGATAAAGGCCAAAAGAAGGGAAAGAGTGATGATGACGAACGCGACAGCAGTACAGATGTGGAGATGGGATCGGACAAGAAGGGTAGGCAGCGTTCCGAAGCCGTAGCCGAAGGGCGATACAAGGAAACGGGTGATGATGAGGAAAGCGACAGCAGTACAGACGCGGAGATTCAATCCAATAATAAGTGTAGGCAGGGTTCTAAAGCCGCAGGCGGAGGACGGTCCAGGGGGAAGAGAGATGATGAGGGAAGCGACGGCGGTTCAGGTGGGGGCCATGACCCGGGGAGCGAGTACAGCGAAGGAAGCGGGGATGGTTCGGGTTGTGACAACAGTGACGCCTCGCGGAAGCGCAACAGACGGCGAAGAAGGTAGGCGGGAAGAAGGGCTGGGGTGGACGGCCTGTGTTGGAATGAAGAAGTCGTTGGAGCAATTGTCACCATCGACAGTCCGTTTCCCCCCTCAATGTCTTTGTCGCCGCGGTTTAGGACGCAAGGAAGGGAGGCGGCGCGAATCGATTGGGCCGGGGGGAAGAGGGAGGAATTACCGAAGTGGGACGTTCCCTTGATGTGCTCGGTTCTCCTCAAGAGACTTGGGATGCTGTGTTCGACGCACTACTCGAAGACCTCGGGGCTGAGGGGCACCCTTGTGCATTGGCATTTCTGCTCTCCCTTCGTGCCGGCCGTAGATGTATCCGCACGATGACCTCGCGCCGGCCCGTAATCAATTGAGTGCGCTCGTGTCGTTTGTCTCTTGATGCAGACGGCCGACAAATCGCGACACAATCTCTGTGAAGTTATTTGTGCGCATTCGGTACGCGTACGCAAGAAAGATCCGACAATACAAGAGGCCAACCCTAGGAAGAGAACGTCGCAGAAGGTGAGCTGTGTTGAACAATCATGATGGCAGCCTGACCTCCAGTTGCTCGACATGCTCGATGTATAACCTGGTGATCGCGCGCCTGGTGCGAGGTACTGGTATCGCATCGTGTTCTGGGTTGCACATTTGCCTTGGGGTTGATGACCGTTTCACTCTTTACCTCCCACGATCTCCGCTTTTTACTTTGGCATGGAATAGGTGGGGTGCCCTTTCAAGACCACCATCTCTTGGCCTCTGCGGGGGAGCAACCCATCCATATCCTCTGTGAGTTCGGGCCTCCTTTCTATGTACGGCATCTTGACCAACATCGACGCACATAGTCCCCATCTACCCGTGTTGCTGTTTTGAACTACTCGACAGGATGAACATGCAGTCTACATGCTTGGGACATCTGATCGCACTGATTGTGACATGCTTAAGACATCTGAGAGTACTGAGTCTGGAACTGAGCTGCTCCGTTCTTTCGTCGAACCCTCCAGTCTCGCTGCCAACACAACCACGACCCACGAGGAGCGGTGTCCAGTGTAGCCAAGCACATCCTGTCGCCAAACACTGTCGACGAGAGGATTGACGATATCCGGACATGGACTGTGGGGGGCGTATCAGCACAGCAAATTATCAAGCTGCTGGAACTAGACCAGGACGGTCTCCTCTTGTGCAAAAAGGGAAGTCGAAAAGTGGGTGCCTACAGTTGGGAGTCCAACGACGTTCAGAATAGATGTGACTTCTCAGGAAATAGCAGTGAAATAGTGGAGTTGTTGTATTCTCGGCGTTTGTCATTTTTTACCGCCGTTGCCTACTGAGGCAGTGCTTGCAGCGCTTCCCCGTCATTGTGTTAAGTGGCGGGAAGAATTGACCATCTTGTTCCCTTGCAATTCTTTTCGTAATGCCATTTCGTACAAAAGGTGTATAACGAAATGAAGAAGGTAAACGACGCGTTGAACGCGAAACCCGAGGACGAAATCGACTTCCTCGCGACTCTGAAAAGCGAACCTGGCATGTACTGCGATCATACGCTGGGTGCACAGGGACGATTGGTGGATGTGTTTTGGTCTACCGTCCAACAGCAAGAACAGATTCCAAGATTTGGGGGCTGCATACAGCTCGATACAACGGTGTTCACGAACAGGTGCACACAATACCTTCGACAGGTTGCAAGTCCCCACAGCACATGTGGGACCGCTCGTTACGCTACACTGCTCATGGTTGCTCATTAAAACCCCCGCTCGTCGTTTGTGGTCGAGGGATTTGGTGCTGCTAGAAAGAGTATCAATGCGTCATGTAACTCGGGCTGACTGTTTGTCTGTAGGTACGGGTGCCCTCTTCTGTTCGTCGTAGGCGTCGACGACGAGAATCGCAGCTGCATTTTGGGGCAGGGCCTGCTGCGGTCTGAGTGTACGGAGACGTTCGAATGGATCCTGAACAGATATGAGGCCGCTGCCGGTCGGCGGAAGCCGAAGGTGACCCTGTCACGATGTACACAACACTCATTCATGGCGTAGAACGAGGTCAGGATGATGTACAGTATGAAGTCGCTTCGACAAAGGATCAAATAGACGTCCATATTTATTGAGGCATGTACTGCAGACGCAGAAGAGCTTGTCTAGTGGCTGTCGACATAACCGCGCCGTCCATGGCCTATCCCATCCGTTGACCGACGCTGATGCAATGACGGCTGCAATAGCCTCCTGCTGGCCAGGGACGCTGGATTTCCACTGCTTGTGGCACGTCTTCAAGAACGTCCTCATGAACTGCTCGTCATCATTTGCTAACAATGACGACAAGACCGACATGATGCGTTGCTTCAAGAACGCAGCTTTTGCAGCTACCCCGGAGGTACGATGACATTCACTCGTACGTTGCCGCCACACGACGGCCCCGAGAGAATGGATTGGTCTACCCCACCCGTTCGCCCCGCCACAACGAGCGGTGAACATAACCTTTGACGTGTCTTGTGTTTACCACTGTCTTCGGTGGCAGGTGTTTGGGACCCAAGTGGCCCGGTTGGAGCATCTTGTGGCCGGCAAGAAGTGCGAAGCATACATAGCGGACTTGATCAAGTTAGTGACTTCCCTCCGTGCATTTCGAGGAAGCGCCGAAATGCGGTCATGATGCCTTGGCTTGAGCCACGAATGCCGCGTTTTTACGCTCGATATTCACTATTTCACCCTGGTACCGTCGTGTACCGTCGTAGGAACAAGACCAAGTGGGCGTTCTACTGCCGACCCACTGTCCTCACGCTAGGCATGGTTGCTACTCAGCGCACCGGAGGTTTGTTCGGGGTGGCAAAACGCTCGGGCGTCGAGAAGAAGCTCTCTTTGTGCGCTCTTTGGGATCGCCTGCAACGTCTCAGCAAGATGATTGCCATAGAGACTGCGAGGTGAGTTTGTCTGTTGTTTTCGTCACCCGTGGCAGCAGGTGGTATCCGCGAGCTTCGATTTATGGGATATTCCGATGTGTTTTACGACGCGCGCATTTGTTTCTACCTGCAGCTACAGACACTGGTGGCGGATCGACATTGTCTATGGATTTCTCCCTCCGCTACACATTATGTAACACTGCTTTTCATGCCATGCATGCAGGTAAGCGACACCCCCCCCTTGGCGCTGGCGTAGCCTTCCGGGATAGCCACGTGGAGAATTTCTTCAGACCCGTGAAGCAGGAGCTCCTAGCCTGTGGTGCGAGCCAGTACTGCCTGCCAGCAAGTGAGTCGTGTTTCCCTTCGGTATATGGATCGTTGCCGCTGTTGAATTCGTCCGATGTTGTGTCCGTGATTTGTCAAGCTGACACCATCCAGTCGAACTGAAACCCCATCGAACACACCTTCGCACTGTCGAACCTCATTCCGTCGCAGGAGGTCAGAGCGCAGGTAGACGAAGCGCAGTCGTATGACGCCGAGGTGGTGAGTTCAGGTCGTGTGGAGGAGAGCGGGGACCCGCTGCCTCTCCTCGAGCACGACCTCGCCAAGATTCGCTAACTGCGCCTCAAGCTCAACATTCTTCAGGTCGCACCACCTGATACCGACCTCGAGGGAGACCAGTTAGACGGCGAAGCTGCGGTGGACAACACTATGTGGGCGCGTGCGTCGCTGTCAGCCTTCTTGGATTTGATCGAGGACATACCTATCCAACTGGTCGTGGCCGTTCGATACATGAGGGCGGCGAACAGACCTAGCCACCTCGTGGTGTTCGGACCTCACAACTTCCACTTATGTTCCTGTTTACAGCTATTGCGGCGCGGACTGCCTTGTAGGCACTACTTTGCGGTGCTTGTCAACCTCATCGGGAGAACTGGCGAAAGTGACGAGATGGCCTTCATTCATACCTTCAAGGGCGCATGTGTCCACAACCGTTGGCGCCGAAGAGAAGATGGCAACGATTCGCCGTGGAGCATCTCATCGTTGCTGTCGTCGTCAGGCCACGGCGTAGGGTGGGACGGCCATGACGAAGGCAGAGACGAGAGCTACTGGGGACCGACGTGCGATGAAGCGGTAGATGGCATACATCCTACTGAACCGGGGGGGGGCGCGCAGGATAGAAGCGCTTCCGACAAGCGTCGAGTCTACGCCCATCTGATGGCGAAGAGCAAGGAGCTTGTAGGAGATATAATGAGGTCCGTGCCCCTGCATCAAGCGCTGTCCGTCCAGGACAAGGTTGGGGAGTATCTCCGGTATCTTCTCAACTCGTCCGCGGGAGGCACAGGGGCCCAAAATCCTGGAGAGGCGCCCAAGAAGGGGAGGCCGAAGAAGGACGGTCGAAGGCAGCCTCTTCAGCATCGATCAGGGGCCAAAGAGGAACCAGGAAACCCGGAGGGGCAGCAAGGAAAGTCCCGTCAGACCAAGAGGATGAGGGATTTCAACAACGGGCGCCGGTCGACGAAGAGGAGTAAACACGGGGAGGAGAACGACAGTGGAACTTGATCCACACGATTTCCATTGTATTCCCCGTTTGTGCCTTTCAGAGAGTTGGGGGGCATATTCGAATGTCCGTGTTCAAGGGGGTAGCAAAATCGGCGTAACGAACTAGGGTTTATGGAATCGTCTTATGTATAGTCTACGAGACACAACAAATCGGGGACAGCAGGGGGAGCCATGCCTTGGCTGCGGCTGGCTACAATCCGTCATGAACTGCGTGTCGACACTTGTTTCGTGTGGCGAGACACAACCGAACGCTCATGACCACAACTGGAAGTTCCAACGGGTTTAACCTGTGGGCGACGACCTTCCTGCTTGTGCTCGGTCTACTTTTCATCCCTTCTTGCAGCGCGGCGCCGATGGACGTATTTACGTACTTGATGCAGTACAGTAGGTGGCCCGATATAGTGGCAACCTGAATAGTAAAGTGCCCGATATAGTGGCATGAAAATCTCCTGGCAAAATCTCAACCCGATAGTGGCACTTTGCCACTATTGAGGACGGGGCCCTTAATAGTGGCATTTCGGGCATCACACACACCCAATAGTGGCAGTTCCAACTAGTGCGCCCCCACTATACTGCTGTACTACACCTGCCCACACACACTCTCAGTAGTGGGCGCCACACGTATCATGCTAGTCAGCGCGGACCAAGAACTGTGTTAACANGTGGCATTTCGGGCATCACACACACCCAATAGTGGCAGTTCCAACTAGTGCGCCCCCACTATACTGCTGTACTACACCTGCCCACACACACTCTCAGTAGTGGGCGCCACACGTATCATGCTAGTCTCCTGCGAGACCGGGTTCTTGTAGTGAACCAACGGCTGGCGCTGCGGCTCAAACTGCGGGTGCTGTTGAATCTCGCGGTGGTGCTCTCTGCACCGGGGCGTACGCTGAGTTCTTGAGTTGAACGGCATCCCAGTCAGCAGCAGTCACCTCGTCTATGATGATTCCCTCCGCGACGGCGTCGCGGCCGCGTGGCTTCCCAGACGTGATCCAGCGGCTCCGCCATTTCAACTCAGTATTGTTGGCTCGCGACCTTGAGTGCAGCACTAACCGATACTTTCGTGGCTTCTGTCTCTCGATGCCGAGCTTGTCGCGCAGCGTGTATCCGTCGGGAACCAACTGCTGCACGCAGGAAACCCTCTCTTGGTCGAGTTCCATTTGGTTGCCGGTCTTCACAACAACATGTGTACACCTACCGGCGGCTGTGTACGACGCGGCCCAAGCGGTGGTTCGGCCGCGATTTTTTTTGAAATTTGAAACTTGGTTTTACGGCCGTTTTAAACGGACCGACTTTTTTGTCAAAATTTTCGACATTTGTCTTCCAAAAACTTGGAACCTGTGTGCAGTCATTTTAAACGTGTGACGTGGACTTGTGCAACTTGTGTCAAAAAAAATGACGCCGTCCGTGAGTTGTAGCGCTCACTTCGAGACAACACACACGACACAACACAAACCGCGGNTCCTACCCCCCCGGGAAAAGGAAAAAACAGAGCGGCGGACGCGAAGCAACAACTGCAAGCCATCATGGCGGACCGCCGTTTTTCGGACGACACAGCAACAGCAGACAGCATCCTACCGTCCTATGTCTTCGTCAACGTTCTCGAAGGCCTACGTCCCCGGTCCTGAATTTGACCTTAAGCTTTGTTCCTGCATCCATTGGTCCATGTAGGTA